GGCTTCCTGTTCTTCCTCATTGAGGTGTTCTCTACCTCTCATTGAGGTTATTTGGGTTACTTTAGTCTCTTGCAACAATACTGTTTTGTACATCTGGAGGGATTTGTATGTCAGTGAAACCAAGTCTGCTAATAGAAACAAATAACCTTCTGGTCTGTATGATCTCCTCCTCTATCAGGCAACCTTATTACACTGCCCAGGCACTAAGAGTTAGCTGTTATTTCTTGGAGCAAAGCAAAGCCCTCCCATCTTTGGGGATTACAAACAGAAATGAGTTTTAGGCTACAGAAGGAAATAGGGCAGAGAGTCAGATGGAACACAAGTTAAGGGGACTTGACCTTCCCTACTACTGTTAATACTATTAATACTTGTGCAGGGTGATTTTCACTAGTAATTTCAGTAGCTTAACTAGCTAGGTGGATTTGGAAGAAAGAACATTGCTGGGCTGGCCGAGGTGTCAAAAGTGTGGATTTGGGACCTTGTTTTCATTTGATAGCCAAGTGGTCTTGGGATGTAATCTCAATGCATGGAGCCTCAGTTTCTTCCCTGCAAAAGAGTGGACGGTTCTGAAGTTCTGTGAGTATAATTCTGGCTTGCTGTGTTGTGGCCATGAAGATGAGCATTGTCTCTTATGCCTAGGACTTCAATGGAAGCCAGAAGTCAGTTACATGGAATGCATGTAGTTTCTACCACATTAAAAAACTTGGGGCCGGGAATTTGGCTCAGTGGCACAGCACCTGCCTCGAAAGTGCAAAGTCCTGAGTTTGAGCCTCGGTACTGGAAAAAAAAAATTAATGTGCTTGGTTTTTACGGACCCTTCTTTCTCCATAGTGCTGGAAAACATTTGATATCTCAGTATGTGCATGGGAAACAGAGGAAGTCTGTAGGGAAAGGAGCTGGTAGGGAGTCCTGGCGAGGGCATGTAGGGAACAACATTGGTAAATGGGGCCACTGCAACGTGTTGGGCAGGGAGATGCCTACACTCTCCAGGCAGAAGGAATTGGAAGAGTTTCCCTTCCCTTCCCTTCCCTCTTCTTCCCTTCCCTGCCTTCCCCTCCCCCTCCCCTTGCCTCCCCTTCTCTCCCCTCTCATTTTTGATCAAGTCCTGAGCTGAAGAGGTTAAGGCAATTGGAGTGTCTCTGAGTCCATTCCAGAAGGGTGGAGACATTTAATGCCACAAATGAAGCAAAACTGGGCCCCTGTACAAGTGCTAGTGGGCGTTCAAAGCACTAAGGCCAACAATTCTTCATTTACATACCTGATTTGGAGAAGAGGAACAGGCAGAGCTTCTGATCCCAAGAGCAGCATCTTCCCTCCAGGAACCTGCACCCACCAGCACTTTCCTTGTTTGATCCAGTGAAGTCAGATTCTTCATGGAAAGAACAGGTTGCTCCTGGCCAGGAAGGGCCTACAGCTGCATGTCCTTGCTCAACAAGAAACCTCCCTCCCTGAGAGGAAAGACACTTTGGCTTTCAGAACCTCCCAGCTGCAAAGGCGCCTAAGGAAAGGCTGAGATCCCAGTGTGAACTTCTGCCCTATTCTGGCCATTTCAGGGGAGCTGGGTGGGGGCTGTCACTCTGCAACTAGCAGCGGGCAGGGTGGCCATCCTTTTTCTGTAAGCTGGTGCTATTCACTGTATGGCCTGGGTCAGTGGAAGAGATGCTTGTTAAGGTTCCCTGTGTTCTAAAAGTGTGTCATTTTGTGTGTTCCTTTTGTATCTTTCAGGGCCAGAAGGGGCTGAGTACACTGGGATTGGGGAAGAGGAGTAAGACATGGGACATTACAAATTCTAGTTGAGAATTGGCCTTTCCCAGGAGCAGGAAACTGAGGCCCTGAGGAGAGAAGGACTTAGCCAAAGACACACTTTCACTCAGTGACTGGGCCAGGACCAGAATCTGGGCTTCTTAGTTCTTATTCCTGTACACTTCTACCTCGTGAGGTCAGCAGTGAGTGTGCACGGTGCTGGGAGCCATGAGACTGGCTTGTGCTGGAGGCACTGCTGCAGACTGTAAGCTGCAAGCACACAGCTATCATTTCCAGAGATGATCACTTTTGCTGGTGGGAATCTTATGCCCTAGGGACCAGGGACATGTGGCCCCATTGTCCACTGCCTGCCTCCTTCACTGTGCCATGGCACGAGACATCATTCTTTCCTTCCTCAAGTTCCTTTTTCCCTCCATTAACCAGCTGGTCCATGATCTCAGCAGTTTAACATTCCCTAAATGTTGATCCAGTAAACTTCCTTTCCTAAGTTTTTTTTTTTTTTTTTTTTTGGTACCAGGGATTGAACTCAGGTCCTTGCGCTTGCGAGGCAGGCAGGCGGCGGAACCACTGAGCTAAATCCCCGGCCCCTCCCAAGTTTTGACAGTAGTTCTCTTGGAGGTTTCAGAGCTCTGGGGAAGAAAAACTTCCTAGGAGAGTAAGTCTTTGAAAAGGGAAGGCATTTGAGGTCCCCTGTGGGGTTGCTGGAAGTGGATGAAGTGCACAGTACAGATGTAGGCAGCTGCACAAAGGTAGGGCATGTGTGGTACTTGTTGCTGACTCTAGCACACTCTGGGTTCAGGCTGGTCACCCTCATAGTTCTCTGGCCAGAAGAACTGTTAACTCATTAGGAGGTGTGACTATCACTTGACTCTGGGAAGCCAAGTTTGACTGCTCAGGTGGTAAACTTGTGAGTGCTTTGGATTAACTTTTGCTGATTTTCTGAACTATGACCACGTTTCCTCCCATGCCCCCTGACCCCACTAACTTGCTGCTGCCCGCCTCCCTGAGGTCAGCATATGCATGTGTATACAGACACACTTAGTCACACACACTCACATAGACACTTAGCCCTAAAGGGAAAGAAAATTGAGAACAGCTATGCATGTGTGCTTACATGCTACAGAAGACTGACATAGCTCTATCTCTTGAGTTGCTCAAGAGTTGCTGAGCAATTAGCTGTGATTTGGAGGAAAGAGCACCAATTATACAGACCCTCAGTGCATCTTTGTGCTCTGTGACTTGAACCTCTCTGGGCTTCAATTTCTTTGTGGAAGGTGGTAATTAGTCATTATTTCAGTGGAATGTTATGAGGGTTAGATTGGGTCATGCATGTAAAATGCATGCACAGTGTTTACTAAATCATATCCATGATTAGCTGTCCTAGTTACTCTTCTTGTTGCTGAGACAAAATACCCAACACCAAAGTTAAAGGAGGAAAGGTTTATTGTAGCTCACAGTTTATAGAGGTTCCAGTTCATAGTTGGCTGGCTCCAAGGGAGGGTAGCATGGCAGAGGGCATGGCTGAGGAGAAACTGTTCATGGGAGGCAGAAGACAGCAAAGCAGCAAAGTAGTGAAGAAGCACCAGCAGCAGCAGCAGCCTCCCTCTCCCTTTTATGCCTTCCAGGCTACCTGCACTTTGGGTGGTGCCACCCACACCCAAGGTGGGCCTTCCCATTATCCACACCTAGAACTATGTCAAACCCCTCTGTGGACTAATCTAGTAATCATACACCGTTAATCCCAGCATCACACACTCTAGATCCAGCCACCTCTGAAAATCCCTACCTATGACCAAATGGGGCTTTGGAGATACTTCTAGATACAAGCCATAATATTAGCTAAGATCATGAGTCTCAGTTTCCACTTTTGACAAATATGTATAATAATGTCCCCACCTCCTAATACTGTTGGGAGGATTGAATGAGGTGAGGATGTGATTGTTTCTTGTACACTGTAGAATGCCTTGTGCATCAAAGGCAGTGATGTAATGCAGAGAGTGTTGGTGCCACTGACTCTACACATGTTTTTCTCAAGGAGAAGAGAATGTGCATAAGTGTCTTATCCTACTTCCAACTCCTGGATTTGTGTGTGTGTGTGTGTGTGTGTGTTTGTGTGTGTGTGTAGTACAGGTGCTAGGGATCGAATTGAGGGCCTTGTACCTGTCAGGCAAGGATTCTACCACTGAGCTACATCCCCGGGCCAACTCCTGGCTTCTTAACATGCTTAGATTGCATCACTGGCCTTTAGTGCTTGGTAAATTCTTTGAGCTGCCCACTTTGGGAGCCTCCTTGTGCCCTTCAGCATCCTCTGGGAATACTTCCTATCAAAGTGTGCTACTCTAGCAAGTTAAGCTTCAGTATAAAAACAGGGACCTAGGCTTGCATGGGGGTACATACCTGTAATCCTAGTGGGGAGGCTAGGAGGCTAAGCAGGAGGATCAAAAGTTTGAGCCAGCCTGAGCAACTAGATCTTAGCAACTTAGCCAGACACTGCCTCAAAAAAGGGCTGGAATGTAGCTCAATTAGAAGGCTCTGGGTTCAAGCCCCAGTACCTTAAAAAAGGGGGAGACTTTTCTCTTGGATGATGATCTAATTATCATTTCCTCCTAGCAGCCCTTGAGCCTGTGGGCCCCTTGAGCTTCTGTGTACACTTGCACTGTTGTATAGCTTGTAACCACCTCAGTTTGCTTCCTCCCAACTTGTGGAAGCTGAAGTCCTTGGCCAGTGATATTTCAGCTGAGAATTGAAACTTAATTCATGGTTATCCAAATGTCAGTCACTTAGCTCAGATCAAGGCTGTTCAAAGCTGACTCTGGATGGGGATGTGGATGCCTTCTATTCCACCTGCCTCAGTGAGCCATTACCAAAACTTCATCCAGCCGTGGGAGGCACCACTTTTCTGGTCTGGAAGATTGTCTCTATATAAAGCAGTGGCCCTTGCAGTTTAATTTTGTACCTCTTAATTTCCTCCCTCAAGACCTCCCTGGGTGGGGTTGGACACATTTTCAGTGAGTCACAGAGCTTTCTTTCTGAGGCCTCCTCTCTTTGCCTGGGATGGTCCCACAAAGAGCCCCACAACCCCTTAAAAAGGAGGGCCTGACTGGAAGTTCTGGGGCTGGTTGGGGTTGGAGTGGGGATGAGTTGGAATGTCCCATAGGATGCCCTTTATTCCCTTCAAGTCCCTCTGTCACTGTTCTCTAACTTCATCCAGGCTCTGCTTCTCTCCCTCTTGGCAGGACTTGTGTGGAGCGACCACATGTGACACACTGGGCATGGCGGATGTGGGCACCATGTGCGATCCCAAGAGGAGTTGCTCTGTTATTGAGGATGATGGGCTTCCGTCAGCCTTCACCACTGCTCATGAGCTGGGTAAGGCTGGAGCGGGGAGAGAGCTGCCCTCTGCCATTGATCTGGGTTTGAGTTGGGTGCTTTGGGAGTAGAAAGACACTTGCTCACTCATATTCTGAAGCCTTAAGGATCTTTTCTAAGGGCCAGAGTTTGCATTGGCAGTGGCTTTGTTTTATATTTTCTGATTGCCCCAGGCTAGTTGACCAGCCTTGTTGGCAGAGATCTGAATACCTCTGCCAAGTGTCTGTCACGTGGGCACTATAAGGAGAATATGATAAATACAAGAAGATGTAACTCTGTCTTCACTTAGCTCACAGCCTGGCAAAAGGGACAGAAAACATAAGCACATGACCTTGAGGACATCTGCAAAGCAGTCCATTACTGGTGAAAATGAACATCTTGAAAACTGTTTCACAGGCTTTCCAGATTCCCCCTGATTGCTCCCTATTCTGGGCGGCCCTGAACTTCTGCCCCCTGAGTCCTCCGATGTCACCCCACAGGCCATGTGTTCAATATGCCCCATGACAACGTGAAAGTATGTGAGGAGGTCTTTGGAAAGCTCCAAGCCAACCACATGATGTCTCCAACCCTCATCCAGATTGACCGTGCCAACCCCTGGTCAGCCTGCAGTGCTGCCATCATCACTGACTTCCTGGACAGTGGACATGGTGAGCTAGGGTGACAGAAAAGTGGGGCTGTCACTGGAGGGAGTGTTCACCTCCTTTTTGGACCACCTTTCTGTACACAAAGTGGGATTATCTCATGGAGTTGGGCCCCGATGTGGGTCCATTCCAGATGCTCCTTGGTCCATCCTTTCCCTGCCTTTTGGGTCCCAGGCCAACTTAGCCTCTCCTTCTCCAGCATGTCCTAACAACTATTTTCGGCTCTCTGCAGGGGACTGCCTCCTTGACCAGCCCAGCAAACCTCTCTCCCTGCCTGAGGACCTGCCGGGCACCAGCTACACCCTGAGCCAGCAGTGTGAGCTGGCCTTCGGTGTGGGCTCCAAGCCCTGTCCATACATGCAGTACTGCACCAAGCTGTGGTGCACTGGCAAAGCCAAGGGGCAGATGGTGTGCCAGACCCGCCACTTCCCCTGGGCAGATGGCACCAGCTGCAGTGAAGGCAAGTTCTGCCTCAAGGGGGCCTGTGTGGAGAGACACAACCTCAACAAGTACCGGGTGAGTGCTGGAGCCCCACACTGGGGACTGTGGGGAGGAGGAGAACAGTGCCCGGTCTCCACTGGGAAGCAGCCCTTCAAAGATCGGCAGAGTAACAATAACTTAAGTCACAACCCTCCACTGTGCTTCTGTTCCTGGCAACAGTCCTGTCCCGCCTTTGCCTCTCAAAGTGGAGAGGAAAATCTGTGGTAGGTCAGAGAACTTGGTGAGGCCTTAGATATGTGGAGAAAGCCTCCAGCAGGATTGGGGACCCAGCCCTGAGCTCCATATGTAGGAGAGGCCTGGGCCCAGAGGTGAACACTGACCCTCAGGAGCAGCTCACTCTCTGGATCCACCCTTTCTTCCCTCACCAACTATTTTGGAGTCTGTTTCACTCCAGGGAGCTGGGATGAACAAGATGAATAGGCTCAGCAATGAAATGAAACGAAGCCCTGGACAAGCTTCAGTAATTTGACATATCTCGAACTTAGCTTCAGCCATTGTTGTGATTGTTGTTGCTGTTGTGTTTTTAACTGAAATATAATTGAATAAAAGTTTTCCCCCCAGATGAATAGAAACACTAGAGTGACAGAAACCCAAATATTCTGTGCCTATAACATGAACTATGTGTACTTCAGGTCTTGTGGTAGGGTAGTAAAAAGATTTGTACTTTTCCAGGTGGGAATAAAAAGTCCCTCCTTCTTGATCCTGGACACAGTTATCCCTTCCACACCCCTGTCCCCAGCTAGGTGAGGTACAGGGTTTATCTGCACAGAAGCAATAGTATAAAAAACCTTTCACCGAACATGTGAGATAGGTGTGGTTCAGAGTTATTTAAAACCTTTTTCTGTGACCTGGGGATATATATTTTAACTAAATCTTCAAGCATTTGTTAGGCAACATTTCACCATGTTCAGGGGAAGTTCTGAGCCAACTGCATGATGTCAGACAAAGAAATAAAAGGCCACACCTCAGAGCTCACAGTTACTGAGGAAGCTGGACATGTCACAGGCATACGAGACACACAGAGGTACACGTTGTGTGTTATGACAGAGTATAAACAGGGGTAAGAAATTCATGATGATGATTGTGGGAGCGAAAACAACTCTGAGGAGAAGGTGGGAGTTGAAGAGAGTCTTGAGATGAGTAGGATAATAGCAGGTAGGGGTGGGGCAGGCTGGGGAGGGGGTGCTGAGTGACCTGGAGGGTTGGAAGCTGAGATCTGTATTAGAAAGGACACCTTCTACCAGATCATGCCAATTGGATGGCCAGGCTGATGGATTGAGACTAGAAACTTCTGAGTAAGGGTGAATCTTGGCAAGACTTCTCTTGGTAAGAGGAGTCCGGAGAATGAAGAAACTAGTCAAGATGCTTTTGGATATAGAAAATGTGGTCTGGAAAGCACAATCTTTCCACATAATTCCTGGAATTGTCTCTTATCAGAAAAATCCATTATATCCTCCACAACTTCTCAGTAGTCCCTGCATCACCCTATGTAACCAAAACCTGGCCCTTCATGGGGGCTATTGCCCTTATCAGCCAAGGTCGACACACATGCCTGCCTTAAACATCACAGATGCCCAGGGATCTCACATTCAGAACTCATGCTGACCCTGAGCATCCCATTTTCCCAGCTCACTCCCTTGGGGTTTCAGATTCCAATTCTTCAATGCCTTCTGGGCCTACAGTCCATTGATGCAGTTGACTTTCCATCTTTCCTTCGCATGCCCTCACTTTCTCCTAATTGAGCTGAGAGTCATTCGTCACGTGTACTCTGGACCACTCATCCTGTCTCTGTCGTATTCACTTGGATTAGCCACTCCTTGGTTGAGTCCAGCTCAGTCACCCCCTGCGGTGTCCCTGCAGGGGTGAACCTGACTGGTGAAACACATCCAGCTGTGCTCTCTGGCCTCAGTTTCACAGCCTGGACACTCAGTGGGTCCATAATGCTGGCCGGGAGCCTCCCAGCCTCCTGAACCTGTGAGTGTACGCCTTCACCTCTTTTCTCCCATTATCAACTCTTCATCCTCGTTTTCATTGTCACTGGTGTCTTGGTTCATTTTCCATTCCTATGATGAAATACTGGAGGTTGGGTACTTATAGCAAAAAGAGGTTTATTTACTTCACAATTTTGGCAGCTGAAAGTTCAAATATCATGATGTAGGGTCTGATGAAGACCTCCCTGGCTGTGTCACCTTGTGGCAGGTGGTATCATGGTGACAGTGAATTCAAAAGGGAGAGATCACATGGTCAGACAGAAAGCTGGAGTGGGGAGGGATCAGGCTCACTCGTATAACATTTCACTCCCATGGAACTAATTTATGAAGTCTCCTTTCTCTCCTGCAGTAATAGTTTTCTCCTCTCTGGAATTGAGTAAGTCCTATCAAGATACAAACTTATCATGATTTCTTTAATCTTAAACAAAACTTCTTGTGGGATCCTATGGCCGCTCCAAATATGCAGTCTGTTTCTCCGACTGCCTTTATAGCAGAGTTCCTTGAAAGAGTTGTGTAAACATACGTTCTTTCCAATTTCTGTCTTCTGTTTTTTCTCTGGAGCTCATTCAAGTCAGGATTTCACTGTCAGCATTCCTCAAAGAGCTCCTATTCAGGCTGTTTGGTGGTCAGGTCCAGGGTGGGTTACCATTGTTGCCCTGGCCAGAGCTGCTGCAGCCCACCTCTCTGTTCCCTGGGGACACAGCCTTGTGACTCAGGACAGTCCCCATTGTCTTTCGAGTTCTCCTCCTTCCTTACTGGCTGCCCTGCAAGTTCCTTCACTTTTTCTCTCTCCTACTCTCATTTTCTACGGTCAGTCAGTGTGCTCTAGGGCTCAGTCCTTTCCCTCCTCACAATCCCCACTCAGTCTTTCAGGTGATTCATCTGGACTGAAGCTTTAAATACCACCCACATGTTGAAAAGCCTTGTATTTATGTCTCCAGCCTGTGCCTCTATCCTGAACTACAGGCGTATTTGTTGGCTGAATCTTGTCAACCCTGTTTGGACACCTGGCAGGCATCTTAAACATAGCAGGTGTAAAACTGAGCTCCTGAAAGCTGCCCTGGCAACTCCACCTTCCAGTTGCACCTGCTCCAATCCTTTTTCTCTCACTTACCTCACATCCTGTATCTCAGCAATTCCCATCGACCTGTCTTGGAAATAGACCCAGAACCCCATTTCTTCCTGCTTCCCCTGCTTGTCCCCCGCCATTCCCTCCCCCATATTACAGCAATAGCTCCCTACTGGCTTTCTTGCCTCTGATCTTACTCCTTGCAGATAATCCCCAATATGGCAACCAGAAGGATCTTTTTAAAATTTGAATTAGACTATGGTATTTCTCTGCTGGATCTGGCTTGGAATGAATGAGCCAGCCAACTTCTGTCTTTATCTCCTGTTTCTCTCCTTTTACTTGCTCTGCTCCTGTGATGCTGGTAGATTCCAGGTGCATCCCTTCTTAGGGCCTTTGGATTGCTGCCTCTGGCATGCTCTTTCTCCAATGTCTGCCTGGCTCACATCTGTACTTTAAATGTATAATGTGGGCTCCCTGGCCCCTCCTAATGTAGAATGCTCCTCACCAAGGTCCTCCCAGTTGTCCTCACCCCACCTGCTTTTAACACATCCAGTGCACCAAATGCACTAGATTATTTTTACTGTTTGTCTGCCCCACTAGGCTGTTGAGGATGAGAACTTGCTGCACATGGTGCAAGACATGTAGAAGGAACTCAGTAAATATTTGGTGAACGAATGAATGGTGCATGGCAAGAGCACAGCGAATATTTTTGTACAGATGGGTGGGAAGAAAAACAAACAGCATTATGTCAGAAGCCACAGAGGCTGTCATGTTAAGTATAGAAGAAAAACTGGAGATCATAATAGCTCAGCATAGACTCACTCACTCTCCAGCTGGTCCTTGCTGTCTTTGAGAGAGCAGCTTCAGCTTGTGATGGGTACATAAGGAAACAAGAACTGTTTGGCTGGCAGACAGATGGAATGGCCATGCTGAATATGTACATACGCCGAAGTTTTCATATTTCATACAACCGGTTCCTGACTAGGTCTGTGTGGGTGAGCTGCTGTGTGGATGATCTATGACAGCTTGAGCCCCAGACTTGTACAACTGGGTTGCTTTCTCTGTTGTCGAACTGATGTGTGTTCAGGGGATGAAACCCATTTTGTTATCATCGTAAGAGAAACAGTGCAAGCATGTCTGTAATCCCAGCACTCAGGAGGCTGAGGCAGGAGGATTACTGTGAGTTTGAGGCCAGCCTGGGCTACATAGTGAGTTTAAGGGCAGCCTGAACCAGTCAGGAGACCCTGTCTCAAAAAAAAAAAAAAAAAAAAAAAAAAAGAGAAACAATGCAGTCTATACATTTTCTGTCTCCTCCCTACCCTCTCAAACAAACCAACCAAAAAACAAACAAACAGACATCCCCCTGCATAATTTTCTCCAAAGCCAAACAAAGTTTTAGAATTGCTCTGTAGTGTTTCACCTGTGTGTGGTCTTAGTATAAAATTAGCACTGCTTAGAGTGAAACTTTCTCAGATGCAGCACCCAATGAAGGTGAAGGTCGGTTGAATTTGGAAAAAAGTCTGAATTGCAGAACACTTGCAAATAGAACTGTTTAGGCATCTACAGCAACCTTGTTTCCTGGCAAGTGTGCTGGCTGGGCTGGTGGAAGGTTAGACTTCTATAGATGCACTAACAGTAAATAGGGGTAAATAGTTAACAGTAAATAGCTCAATGGTTCTGCCGCCTGCCTTGCAAGCCCAAGGACCCAAGTTCAATCCCTGGTACCAAAACAAAAAACAAACAAAAAAACTGTAAAAAGAAAAGGGGGGAGGCTTTGAGCTCCTTCAGAAGCAGATCCTGTGCTAGGAGTTTTCCTATGTGTTGCTTCATTTAAAACTTCTACCAAACTCAGACCTGAGGATTACTGGCTCCATTTTTGCAGTGAAGCCAGGGAGGTTTGGCCGCCAGCTTGGACCCATTCTTGTGGCTGTAAAACTGGCCTTCCTCCCTTTGAAGTCCAGAAGACTTCTCTCTTCTGAGTGATTTCATTTATAACTGGGAGCAGTTGGTGTTTGCTAATTAATTGCTTGTGGTGTTGTGTGGGCCCTGTGCATATGCATCATCAGCTTATCATTTTTTTTCTTATGACATAAAGTAGATTGCATTCCAGTGGGACGGGATGGGAACTCGGAGGCTGTACCAGCAATCTTTTCAGCTGACAAAGGGGCTGGAAGTGATGTCTGGAGCCTTGCAGGAGTGTAACAGGCTCTTCTTTGCAGGTGGATGGCTCCTGGGCCAAGTGGGAGCCCTATGGTCCCTGCTCTCGAACCTGCGGCGGGGGCGTGCAGCTGGCCCGGAGGCAATGCAGCAGCCCCACCCCTGCCAATGGTGGCAAGTACTGCGAGGGAGTGCGGGTGAAGTACCGGTCTTGCAATCTGGAGCCCTGCCCCACCTCAGGTGAGGCCGGAGGGCCACAGGGCCTGGGCTTTGGGGAGGTGACCCTGAAGGCCACTTCCCCCACAGAGGAATTGCAGTCAAGATCCCAGCCCCCAGGACAGAGCCAGGGAGCAAAGAGGTGCAGAGCCTTCTGTCCACTCACTTTTTGGCAAGGGTGCTTTCTTCCAGGTACTTAGGGTAGGAGGCAGGTGGCTCAAGGGCTGGGACACTGAAAGTCTTTGACAAACCCATCTTCTAAGCAGGAATCCAGGGTTCATGCACTCGATGGGGAAAAAATTGCACCTCTATTTTGTTAGTGTTTCTATCTGAAACAGTATTTCCTTCAATTAGAAATTTAGTTTTTTAATAAATTAGCCTTTCCATCTAAAATTTAGTATTTCCTTCACTTAAAGCAGCAAACTATAACCTTAGTAGAAATACTTGTCACTTTGTCACCAACAGAAATCATGGACCTTTTCATTTGACATTTCAGTTGTTGAAGAATTCTCAGAATGCCACCTATGACTATCTCTATTTCAAAATTGCAGTTGTTACCAGAGTTAATATTGAAGCTCATTATTTAATGCATTACCAGAAGTACATATATCACAAGTCTATTTCAAAATGTATGGATCAATGCATATCAATATAATTGGTATGTTTTATAAATCTGTGTAATTTATTGTATGCATCAATAGCACTATGATAAAAACAGTTTCAGTTGACTGCTGAAGGATTTCATGATCCAAAAAATGTTTAGCATATCTGTGACAGAGGGCGAAAGTGGCACATTGCTCAGGGGATGCATTATTCTCTGTGCGTTGCATTTTTGGTTGCAGCCTCTTTAGTCCTTCTGAGTTGGGGAGGCTGTGGCATCACACTTCCGAGGGTGGGAAGAGATGTTTAGATTTTGGGTGCTGGGCACCCCTGGGAGGGAGGCTCTCTTTTGTACTTCCCTTTAGTTTCCTGCCTGTCCTTCCTCCCTTCCTAGCCTCTGGCAAGAGCTTCAGGGAAGAGCAATGTGAAGCTTTCAATGGCTACAACCACAGCACCAACCGGCTCACTCTTGCCGTGGCGTGGGTGCCCAAGTACTCAGGTGTGTCTCCTCGAGACAAGTGCAAGCTTATCTGCCGAGCCAATGGCACTGGCTACTTCTATGTGCTGGCACCCAAGGTAAGAAAGCTGGGGGTCAGGGACCAGAGCAGGGCCCAGGTATTCAGGGAGCATCTGGCTGAGCTGCTGTCCTCTTCCTTCTCTCCTTCCTGGGGGTGCTGCAGGTGGTGGATGGTACACTGTGTTCTCCCGACTCCACCTCAGTCTGTGTCCAAGGAAAATGCATCAAGGCTGGCTGCGATGGGAACTTGGGCTCCAAGAAGAAGTTCGACAAGTGTGGGGTGTGTGGGGGAGACAATAAGAGCTGCAAGAGGGTGACGGGACTGTTCACCAAGCCCATGTGAGTTCTGGACCTTGGGGGGTGCAGCCAGGGAGCAAGGTGGGAGGCAGGTGGGTGGAATTCCCCCCAGGCATCGGAAGCTTGAGTTAGATTGGAGTGAATGTCAGATCCTGGCATACACTTTTTGTGGAGGCTATTCATACTCTTCTAGGGCTGATATCCACCCATCTACCCATGCATCCATCCAACTGATCCATTCATTCATCCATCTGTCCATCCATGCAGCAAAGCTAAATGGCCTAGAACACATCTCATCAGGAGGTGACAGTCAGGGAGAAGGCACGGTTGTTAGGACCTGTCTGGTACTTTGGAGTAGGACTGACCTGTATTCATATCTCAGTTCCCCATTTTCTCCATGACCTTGGGCAAGCGACTCAATCTCTCGACTTTTAGACATTTTCATTTGTAAAGTGAGTATAACATTAATGTACTTCACATGTGCTCTTGTGAAGAGTAAAAGAATGAATCCAAATAAAATGGCTAATACAGAACCAGATACATAATAAATGCTCAGTACATGTTCCTGGTGCTGATAAGGAGGCAGTGTGTGACAATTGCCACCTTCTCCTGGTGACTGAGGTCCTGGTCTTGGGGATTGGATTGTGGAGAAAATGGCAATGAACTGCTAAGAGGCAGCAAGCAAATGGCTGGGACTGAAGGAGCTGGCATGTCCCGGGAAATGTGCCCCAGAATCAGCCCAAGGATGATCTCTGGGCCTCTTCTAATCCCAACTCCAGTATGCGTCCTCCCTAGCTGGAGCTTTGTGAGGTCAGTGACATTCCCCCAGGAAGGGGCAGGCACTGAAACCCCAGAGGTTTCAGTTGGGAGCAGGGAGTATGAAAACACGGGAGTTCAGCAGCTGATGATGGAAGACCAGATGACTGTCCTGGAGTCAGACTGTCCCCTCTGGATGTGACGCCCTCTGCTGACCCTCTCGGAGAGCAGGAGGTTCCCTCTTTGGAAGCCTGGGCAGTGCAGGCAGAGGTGTTCAAGGCTGTCCTTTGTGGGGACTTGTAGCAGGGTGGCTATGTGGGCGTTAGACTCGCTTGACTGGTTAAATGGACAGGCTGGCAGGAGCTGTAGAAGTCACCCAGCCTAACGAATGCATTGTACAGGACACCAGAACCCAGAGAAACTGATTTGCTTAAAGTCACCAGGGAATCAGTACCTGAGCCAGGACTGGATCTCTAGCCCTCAAGGCTACTAGTGGGTCTCAATACATCAAGCTCCAGGCTTGGATGTGGGCACTGTAGACTTACTTCCTCTCCTCCCTCACCACCATGGGTGATTCTTTCTGAGTCTTCTCTTTGCTGGGTACTCTGGTACATGCTTTATAGGCTAAAGCTTCTTTAATCCTCCTTATAGTTGGACAAGGTATGCGCAACTATGAGGTCCATTTTGTAGGTGAGGAAACAGGCTCAGAAAAATTGAGATTTGTTCAAGATCAACGGCAAAGCAAGGGGCATGGATCTCTTTGGCTTCAAAACTTGTGTTTTTACTCTCTCACTGGCATTTACCAAAAGATAAATTTATGAAAGAAAAATGTTCATAAGGCTCTATAGCCAGTGTATTCAGTTTTAGGTGATTTAACAACAAGCTCATGTACCAGCATTCACTTTGTGTGTTTCCATCGGGCCCTGCACTGCCTAGTCATTCTTTGCACTCTGTTGGTACATTTGTGACCTGCTCTGGGGCCTGTAAGAGGGGATCAGTTGTCACTTTAAAGAGGAGTGAGGTTCTTAGGTCCAGGCATCTGTCTAATGTACAATCCCCCTTTCCCACCCCAGGCATGGCTACAATTTCGTGGTTGCCCTCCCTGTAGGCGCCTCTAGCATTGACATCCGCCAGCGTGGCTACAAGGGGCTGATTGGAGATGATAACTATCTGGCCGTGAAGAACAGCCAAGGCAAGTACCTGCTCAATGGGCACTTCGTGGTGTCGGCCGTGGAGCGGGACCTGGTGGTGAAGGGCAGCTTGCTGCGGTACAGTGGCACTGGCACTGCGGTGGAGAGCCTGCAGGCTTCCCGGCCCATCCTGGAGCCCCTGACCGTGGAGGTCCTCTCGGTGGGGAAGATGACACCGCCACGGGTCCGTTACTCTTTCTATCTGCCCAAGGAGCCTTGGGAGGACAAGTCCTCCCGACCCAAGGAGCCCCTCACCCCCTCTGTGCTGGACAACACGGTCCTCAGCCTCTCCAATCAAGTGGAGCAGCCAAATGACAGGCTCCCTGCACACTGGGTGGTGGGCAGCTGGGGACCTTGCTCTGCCAGCTGTGGCAGTGGCCTGCAGAAGCGGGCAGTGGACTGCCGGGGCTCCTTGGAGCAGCACAGGGCCTCTGCCTGCGATGTAGCCCATCGACCAGTGGAGATGCGAGCCTGTGGGGAACCCTGCCCAGCCTGGGAGCTTGGGACCTGGTCACCCTGCTCCAAGACCTGTGGCCGGGGATTTAAGAGGCGTTCACTCAAGTGTGTGGGACATGGAAGCCGGCTGCTGGCCCGGGACCAGTGCAACCTGCGCCGAAAGCCCCAGGAGCTGGACTTCTGCATCTTGAGGCCCTGTTGAGCGGGACTGCCCTTTTTTCTCCTTTATTCCCCACCCCACTGTTGTACCAGTGCTCTGGCCAGCTATAGCAGAGGATGGTGACAAGTGGCCTGTGCCACCATGCCACTCACATCCAGGACAAGGACCATGGACTGGGATGAGTGGTTCCTCCCTCCCTGGACTGGGCAGGGGCTGCTAACTAACGCACAGTCTACCTCATGCCCTACTCCTCTGGGCCCAGTTTCGGGGAGAGGCTGAAAGGTGTGGTGCTGGCCAGGGGTGCTGAGGCCCAGTTTCCAAGGGGCCTGGAGGATGGGCTTCTCCCAGGGAGAACTTCAGGGACCCAAGCCCCCATCAGGGTCTGCATGCTGCTGGAAGAGCCATGGCCCAGCAGCTTGGCACCCTCAGGTGGCTCAAGGGACTCTGAGCCATCTCTGAAATGAGGCAGGGTTTTCACGGTGCTTTCAGACCCCTTTGGTTCTTTCCTGACTGACATGGGCTGATCAGTGAAGACTAGTGGTGGTGGTGAGGATGCTGAGCACAGTGAGTTTGCCTACAACTGGAGTCTGGGTCCCTCTGCTGGGGAAGATGTGGATGGGGACAGGGAGTCCCAGCGTTTCTCATCTTCCCCCTGGGCCCACCCTGGAAAAGCAGGCCTCATTTCCTCCCTGCCATCCAGGGCATTAGACTACAGGAGGGCTGCCACCACCGTGTCCTTTGCAGAAAGAGGAGAATGTCCCCTGGAGTTTGCCTTCTTTGTCCAGAGGGAGCCAGCAGTTGCTAAAAGATGCTGGTGCTTATTGGGTGGCTGAAGCAGGGAGTGTGAGGGGAGACCTCGGGGGTTTTGCTGGCTGTGAGCCTGGGGGTGGATCCTGAGCTCTGGTCTAGGCACTGGGGACTGTCATCCTGGGACAGGGAGGAGGAAGCTCCAGTTTTGATGGCTTTTTCCTCCTGAGAGGGACACATAAGTAAGGCAGACGCCACCCACAGGCTCTACATTGCCTCAGAGAATCTCCTGAGTGACCACAGTCTTGTACCCACAGAGAGGGGAGCAGGGTGTGCCCAGAAGGGCTGGGAGCTGAGCATCTCCCTCCTTGCAAGTTAAGCTTCCTCCTTCTGGACGGCTCCTGCTGTCTGCTGTGGGCATGTCACAGCACATCTCCAGCTGAGAATTGGGTTGTCTGTTTGCTACCTCAGATTATGCTCTCTGGGAACCCAGCCTGTCCCTAGGGACAGAGGTGACTTGGCGCTCCCACCACATCCAGCTGTCATCTTCATAGACTAATCTGCCGAGCCCCAGAGACGAGTGTGTGATGCAGGGCCATCCACCAGGGCTCCAAACATGAAGACAAAGAGGGAGTTTCTCTCTTCGGGTTCCCTGGGAGCTGTTCAGGAGTCAACAAGAGTCATAACCTGACCCAGAGGCCTTCACAGCTACCAACAAGAACTGCTGGGGGAAAAACCCAGGCCCTTCCTATAGTTACAAGTGGGGAGATAATTCGGGGATAGTGATCCTTTGGTGAAGCAGGGTATTTCTTGAAGGTGCAGATGCCCCAGTGTGAAAAGAGGATATTCTGCTTTTCAGTATAGGCAGAGTCCCAGACTTCAGTGAAGAACTTAACTGAGATCAGATCAAAGCCCGAATCTTCCCGGGGGAGAGAGGTTCAGTTCTTTTCTGTGGTTTCCCTCACAGTCAAGATCCGCAAAACAAGCAGCCAGCCAGCCAGACTGCTGGTCTATGGTATTCTTGACACTGGTCTAATCTTAGGCTGGAGAATATGGACTGAGCTCCTGCAGGGGGTGGAGGGCCTTCAGCTCCCTGGAATAGGGCTGCAGACACTCTTGCAGGACAGAACAAGGAGGAATCTCCCTCCTTATACTGTGAAGCTGCAAAGACAAAAGGACCCCATGCACAGGCAGAAGGGGAGACTTGCCAGGGGACTACAGCCTGTGCTCTGATTGGTGCATTTTCTCCCAGGCCTGGAGAGGGTGGGGTGGGGGCTGTGCAGAGTGGGCAGGGGAAGGCGGAGAGGGAGGCACCATCCCTGGGGTGGCTGGCTTCCTAGCAGGGGTTATTTGCTGACATTGCTTTACAAACCGTTTCAAGGAGGGATAACTTTTGTTCTTGACACAAGTTAGGTCTCCATGGTCTTTTCTATTGTGGTCCCTCCTCCTTTTTGCTTTTCTTAAAAAACAAACAAACAAAACCCCCCCAAAAGCAAAAGTATGAGCAAGACAATTTGGGAAACTTGTCTTCTCTTTGAACATTTCCTCAGTCCAGCAAAGCTCTCCAGAGCTGAGAGGAAATGAGACTCAAGGCATAGGGTTCTGGTGATGACATAAAAAGTGAAGGTGGCGTCTCATGCTTATGGAGAAGAGGAGCCTTCTGTGGGCTCCAGCAGTTTCTTCAGAGGGGTGTGGCCCTGTAAGGCCTTGGGCTCATGATTCCCTAACCTCCTTTACCTGTTGTGTGCACTGATCGAAGGATCCTCACCCAAACACCCTCAATACTGGTGAGAAAGCTGGAGGAGCCAAGAACAGTTTGAGGGACTGGATTGCCCCCAGCCTGGGAGTCAGCTCCTGAGGACACTAGACACTCATTAATAGAGCCCAAGCTGTACTTGGTTCTTTTGCATTCCATACACTGCAGAAGGATGGGAGGACCTGGGTCTTGGCTGGGCATGTATACTGTGTATACATGGGAGCCGGCTGCGGGGTGAGGGCAGTTTGCTCTTAATAAAGTTGGAAGTATTTAAAACTTGTGTCCACCTCTGTGACTGCATCTCGCCTGTGCATACGTGGCCTGTGTTTACAGAATGTCTGCCTTGTGCCTGCCATGGTGCTAGGAGCTATGAAGACAGCAGTGACTATGACATGCACAGCCCTAGTCCCATGTAGTTCCCAGGTGAGCTGGGGGAAGATCTCAGGTCAGAAGCAAAGAGGTGGAGTCAGGAGGACTGTTGAATACAAAGAAGAAATCAACTGGTGGTAAGAAGAGAGTCCATATCTGAGTGTTTGTGGGTAAAATAAGACAACATGAGACTAAAGGATGAAAAAGCAGCCCTGCTAAAAAGGGATAGGCCATTTAGCACAAGGGCAGTGAGCCCAGACTGCAGAGCTTCAGGAGGGTCTTTGGGGCTGTACTTGTGAGGGGGATGAGATATAAGAGGCTGGAGGGGCCCATCATGCATGGGTCCCAGCTGCCTAACATAAGAGGAGACCCCAATTTTCTAGAGTTTCATTCTGCCTCTTCCTAGTTGGTTTGGGAATTTTAACAAATATAAAGGCACAAAGAGGGGTACGACACTTTTCAAAGAACATCTGGAAACTTATGTTGACTCAGATCTGAGGTCCTGTCTTGGAACCTCACTTCCTATTTACAAAATGAGAAAGGTAGATATAGTGTTCCTTCTTTCTTTTTCTTTTTCTTTTTTTTTTTTTGTACCAGGGATTGAACTCAGGACTTTGTGCTTGTGAGGCAGGCTGCGGCACCACTGAGCTGAATCCCTGGCTCGATATAATGTTCCTTTAAGGCTGGTCCAGATTTAGCAGCCTGGTTTCTAAGCACAGTTTGGTTTCAACTTTTCTGGCTGACTCTCTGGCTTTGGTTTGAGGTTCAGAGATAGATGTGTTTCTCTTTCTGACTTTCTGGCAGAGCAAAGCCATGGGGAGAATGATTCCTCATGAGCTGGAAGAGCCACCCCTTGAGGCATGTAGGTGAGGAGGCCAGAGCGGGGAACTTGGACAAAGCTTCAACACTTGGTAGAAGGTTCTGGAAGAAACAGAAGAGCCTGTGTGGCCCTCCAAGTTACCTGGAGGCTTGGAAGGGACATGGAGGGGCTTGGGTTGATGCCTAAGCTTACAGTTAGTAAGTAAGATCTCTGTGAATTGCCAATTGTTTTTAAGCTTTCTGGAGAAGGCAGGAACAGTTTCCTAACCTTCATGGCCACTGAAGAGAGAAAGGAACAGTCTGCTTTGTAATCCATCCTTGTGAGGGGAATGCATTCTTGCCCCAGTAGAGAAAAAGCCTTGATAATTGTAGAAAGCTCTTGACTCCCTTGGACCCCGCCTGCCTAGGCTGAGCTGGCACTGCCAAGGGCAGCGTGTGTGACCCAAAAGTCTTTCTGTTCCTTGGCTTGCACCCAGGCCTTGTTGTTGGGTGAGTCAGCTCTGAAGCCTGCAATTCTAGCAACAAATCCCAGAAGACCAAAAAGTCTCCCTTCAGGCTCCTCAGATACCACTGTGTCACCCCTAGCCCACAGCAGCTGTGAGAGAGCATTGCAATGAAATGTTCGCTGCTCCCAAGCAGAAGACTGTAGAAGGAGAAGGCAGCGTGCCAGACACTCAGCTCTCACCCTTCCCCTCCCACCCCAAGCACTCCGAGACTCTGCCCAGCCCTGTCCTGGTGCTCAACTGGGAAGCCCTGCCATTGTTTTTTTCTTGTGCCCTCTGGTCAGTAATGTAAATCACATTCTGAGAACTGACCAGAATATTATTAAGGAGGAGACAGAAGGCATTCCAAAGGAGAGACAAAACTGTTTGTTTCCAAAGGATGGCAGAAAGGGCAAGATTGAGGGAGATAAAGAGAAAAGGGGATATTCTCATGAAAAGTTGGGTTTGGGAAAATGGTGAAGATACGTTCACGGTGAAGGGTTGGAAGCTGATGGTATTTTGTCTGCAACCCTAAGTTGTTATAAACAACCCCTCTCTTCCCGCCTCCCCACCTGCCTTCCCCACTTGGTCATAGTCTCTGACAGTATCCAGGGGCTTGGGTTGCTGCTGCCCTGAACTTCTGAAGAGCTGTTCAGATGACCTCGTGGGACTGGGATTCCAGTCTCGGCACATCTGCTGTGGCTGAGCAAGCTGATGCTTCTGATGTGGGTTTGCTGTTGCGGAGGATTTTGAGAAAGAGTACTTAGGTGTGCCAGGGAAAGGGGTTGGGGGCATGGCATGACCTCTGCCGGTGCCCTGTTTGGGCCGGGTCTGCTTGCTTCCTTTCAGCTCTCGTCTGCTGTAAGTTGGGAGTCCTCATCAGTCTCTTGGTGAGGCTAGGAGAGAATTACCTGTTCTTTTCTTTCTCCCCTGAAAGATTTCTTGTAATGACTTGGGAGCATGCTCTTGAGGCAATGTTCTGGGTTTCCTAAAGGATCCATTAGCACCACCTGAATGCGCCTGAGATTCCTGCAGTCTCTCCTGATGGGAAAACGGTCTCTTAATTCATTTCTTGGCAAGTTTCCCAGTGGAGCTTCTGACATTTTTAGAATTGGAATTTGGCACCTGGATCCACCCTGCCACCAAATAAACCTCAAGTTCAGAGAAGCACAGAAGCCTTGAATTCTTTGATCGTCTTTGAGTGTCAAAAGGGCAGAAAAGAATGAGTAGGGAGCCAAACCTGGCAATGGAGTTGCAACCCTGCAGCTCTTTGTTTTTCCTTTTTCCTTTTCTTTTCTTTTTTTTTTTTTTGGTACCAGGGATTGAACTCAGGTCCTTGAGCTTGCGCAGAAGACAGCAAAACCACTGAGCTAAATCCCTGGCTGTTTTTTCTGAAAACTGCCACACATGCCTTTTCCTTTTCCTTTCCTTAAAATAATTCCAAAAATAATATAATAATATGAAGATTCACAGAAGAGACAAAGAATAATAAAATAAAACCTGGGTGCTAATCATTTAGTATAAGAAAGAAGACATCACCAATAACCCTTCCTCCCCGCCACACCATGAACACCTCTCCCACTCTGCCTGCCCCTCTTCTGCTGGGTGCAATTGTTATCTCTGATTTGGTGTTTGTCCTGACCAGCCATTTCTTCTGTCTTTTCCCATGCACTGCATGTTTTTCAACCGTCTATACAGGGTAGCACTTATATGCACTCTTCTGAAAACTACTTTCTCAGTTTGAATTGTAGCTATAGGAGTCATTTGTATGGATATAGGTGGTTCTAGCTCATTTGTTTTGTGGTCTGGTATTTTATTTCACTATGTGGATATGAATGGCGGACATTTAGGTTGTTTCCAGTATTTTTTGCAATACAATTCTGTTGTGAAAATTCTTGTCCAGCTGTTCCAGGGCACGAATTTGATGTCAGTTGGTAGGAGTGGTATTTCTGGGCTGTAGGGTGTGTATTTTATTACCAGCTCTTTCCAAATTGTTCTCCAAAGTGGTTTTATCATGCCCAGAGTTTTGCCAGTTGCCTTTCTTTTTTTTAGGCATTACTTTTTCCATCTTCTGACCCATCTTTATTGGTGAGGATTCACTTTCTCCAATCTCTCCTTTCCTACTATCTAGCTAAGATTCCAGCAGAAAATACATAGGCAGGCTCAACTTAGGATAGCTCGAGGAGGGAGTTGAATAAAGAACAATTCACAGAGATGTAGACAGGGGACATGAACCAGAGCAGAACCTTGGGGTGGTGAGGAGACCTGATAGGTGAGAGAAGAAATGGTGATGAGATCAAAGTTAGAGAGGTGTAGGTGGATAGGGGCCCCAGACAGGAGCTGTTTTAGTATATTTTCCATTGCTGTATGAAAACACTGGAGGCTGAGTAACTTAAGAAGAAAAGAGGTTTATTTAAGCTCACATTTTTGGAGACTGGCAGTCCATACTACATGCACTGGCCCTACTGAGGTTCCCCCTATGCATACTGCACTGTGGTAGATGGTATTTTGGTGGGGAATGCACAGGAAGGATTATAAGGCCAGACAGGACAGGAAGCATAGAGTGAGGAGGGGCTATGTGCTCTTTAATTACACTCCTCTCCAACTATCTAGGTTTCATGACAACTACATTCATTCCTTTGGAGGTATTGTCCCCAAAGACCTCCCATTAACCCCCACTTAAAGGTTTTGCCTCCTCCCATATCACCACACTAAGGACCATGCTCCCAACACATGAACTTTTGTAGACATCCTAAACTATATCCAGACCATGGCGGGAGCTAAGACATTTGGTTGGGTGATGCAACTGCAGTTATTTTATCTGTAAAAGTGGGAAAATTCTTACCAACAGGAGAGCTATTGTGTGATCTCAATGGGATAATATGTGTAGCACACTGCCCGGAATGTAGTAAGGGTTCAATAAATACCAGTTAGATGTTTCTCTAAACCAATAGTAAGTTACAAGGGCTGAAGATTCTCAAAGAATTTTCATAGTTGTTATTTTCCAATCTGCACTGAAATAGAAGTGGCCTAAAGACATCCTTCTTATGGTTATTTACCTGACATTGCTCTAGTTAACGACAATGTACTTGACCCCCACCTTTTCTTTCCACCAGCGTCACATCATGCCTGGAGTACATAAATAGCACTTACCTGTCCTTCCCACCTCTAAATTCATCCCCTTTCTATCCTTACCCCAAGAAGGACTCTCCACCTCAGCAGTAGGTGCCCTGTTTTGGGCTCTCCTGGCACCCTCTGTGTCCTCTCCTATTGTACTAATTGTCTGACTCTTCAGATATACTCTGTGGACCTTGAGAATGGGCTTTATTTGTCCTTGCACAACTAAGTGCTTGGCACACAGTGATAATATAATAATACAAACACCCTCCTTTGGCTGGGTCAGCATGCCTGCATGCCTATTACCTAACATTAACTATCATATATTAGCATAAGGGTTTTATCGGCCTTACTCTATTGATTGCTTGTAATAACTTTATAAACAATATTCTATAACTGCCTCCTTTTACATATGAAGAAGATGAGAACCAAAAATGGTGGGGACCTTGTCTGTGTTCTCCCAACTTGTAAGTGGTAGAGTCAGGAC